TCAGAAACAACTAAAACCTCTCTTATAAGCCCTATTCAAATAGATAAATATTATGTTAAACATCATTTGTGCATACTAATTCTGTGAAAATTTTCATAAGGCTTTAAATCACTTAAAGCATTGATTCAAGTTATAACTGAAATATTTGACAGTCCAAAAAGCTTCAAGTAATGTTGATACTAAGTATATAAAAATGCTGAACCATAAACTAGTAAGTATGAGTCCTTTAGGTCACCCACAAAAATCAGATTTCATATGCACATAATATATAAATGGTTACTCTATGAAATTGATACTTAAATCCTAATGTCCACTAAATTTCCACAGTTTTTAAATAGATCATAATTTTAACTAGGAATTGCTATTTTTAAAATGTCATGAATTTAATAAAATAAAATGAAATTGGGATAAATATAAATTTCTACATCTATAAATCCATTTTACAAGCAAGAAAATTGGGAAAAGCCTGGCTTAAGAGAAATTTTATGAAAAACTTCAGAGTTTATTTGACCATAAATCAATCAACTATGACCCAAAATGTAATATAATAGTTTGAAATCGTAGACTGCATTGATAGAAATATTGCATCCACAACAAAGGTGCACTCTTTTGAGCCATTCAGGTCATAACTGCATACTATGTCCAAACACTTCAATCAAGTCAGTTAAACTAGAGGGTAGCCAATGGAATGTAATCAAGATCATAAGTTTGAAAATCATCTTACCTGAGGAATTTTTTTAAGGAACCATGAATGTTTAGCCTAACATTGAATTTGCGTTTGAAAGGTTTGTGTTAGTTATTGTTAAATATGTAAAAAAAGTCTTTTTTTTTTTGGATGCCAAGGGGGGGGGAAAAACAGCTGAATGAATAGATGGAATTAAGACAGAGGCATATTTCAGCCTAATAAAAAGGCAGACTTTAAAAGTGTCTAAATACATACCTATCCTATTATATTGAGGCTTACCGTGGATAGGCTGAAAGTCCCATGTCAGCAATGCTAAAGAGGGAAGTTGACACGAGCAGGTCTGTTCCAACCTCAGGTTCTTCTGTTGTACAGGTTAATCAGATAAAAACAGGGTTTCTCAGGGATCAGAGCTAGAAAAGATGGTTCTTATCCAACTTCTTTATAAGCACTCTGGATGAGAGGATACATAATTGAAATTATATATGCTAAGTACATAATTCTTAGCTTTTGCACTCACCAGCTCTATTCCCCCCAACATACACACCCTACACACACACACATGCTGCCCTAGGAAAATGGATTAGTGTGCAGCTATAGTCAATAAGGCAAACAGTATGTTTAACAACAGAGAAAACCTGAGAAAGCTTTATTCAACCCTTTTATTTCCACACTATCTGGAATCCCACAGGTGGTTCTAGTCTATACATATTAGAAGAGAAATAATGAAATCTAGAAGGAGGGTGGGGGGTGACCAAAAAACCATAAGGATGACCTGATCCTCACTTGAGATCTTGCCGAAGTGCTGACTCATTAGCCTTGCAGAACTCAGGGAGGCTATGAACATGCTTAAAATGACTCTCTGTTTGGACAATATAAACATAAATTCCAAAAGGTTAGAACAATGGGAATTACTTTAAAACTTTTAATGAGTTAAGTGTAAGACAAATAGAACGAATTACATCTTCACCAACCAGGTGACTTGCTAATTACGTGGTATATGCAAGAATTCCCAAAGGATTTCTTGATATTTGTGAAAAACAGAGTCATAGTACATGACTGCTAAGAGAAGCTGACATGTGCCTGACTCTCTGACTTCCATGATCCTTGGCACCTCCTATTGGTGGCATCTACTGTGGCCTGACTAGACTTGTGTCTAACAAAGAATGACAAGTCTCATCTTACAAAAGATTTTAAGTGTGAGGGAACATTTAATTGTTTTATTTTATCTGATAGTCTTGTTGTGTGGATATTTGAATCCTCCCTTGAATCTGATTTTAATTTCAATGAGTATCACAGAAGAGTTGACATTAGAAAACAAAATCCAAGATCTCAGCCATTTTGAGGCAACTGCATTTTCTCATATCTTCTTCTCCTAGGTTGTAATTGTTGAAGACTCTCCAAAGTACCTTGAGTGTCTTTTTCTCAAGGCCCTATATGTTGGAAAAAGCCTGAAAGACCCATAAGCATTATTATGTTTGAATACATCAGCAAACTTGTCATCAGCTAATTAAGTCTCCTGAAACTGAAATCAATGCATACTCTTTTTAAAATCTTATAAATCAAAGACTCTTTCTCGTATAATGCTTCCCCTTCTACCTGGAGATTTAATGTTTTCCATCAGACTTTGATTTCAATCAAGGTGCTTAAACCTCTAAAGTGCATGTGAGAGTACTCTTCTAGAATTCTTACAGAATTTGTAAAGGTAACTAAAAATACTGAGTTTGCATTTCTTTGCCAGGTAAACATTAAAATGACATTCTTAAGCAGGATCTTCCTAGTGCTAGAGACAAGAAAGCAGCATATGTGCCACATGTTTGCCCAGCAAGTACAAGATGTCACGCTTGAATTTGCAAATGTGTGCTTTGTGTTCTGTGCTCTGTCGTTACTGAGAGACCTCTGAAAATAAAAATACATTTTAAGTACTTTTAGATTGTGGTTCATGTGATTCTAATGTAGATTTTGGCTGTGTTTCAGTGGACATTTTGTTTTTTAAATCACCTTTTATGAAACTTCATTTAATTTTTTAATGAGTATTCGAGTATTTATGACTTGCACACATTAAATAGGAAATGTCCTAGCCGTATGCCATTTCAAAGCTCATGTACTTTCTCTATGTGTATTCTCCATTATAAAGTGATAACTAAGAGTTCAGCTACTGCCTTTGGGTTGACAGTTCCTTATGGAAATGTGCTGAAGACCAGTGACTTGAAAATTATTCCTTCCTGTATTTCCTTCCCTACAAGTGGTATATGTTGGCCTGTCATAGATCTTAGGACAAAAGTTAATGAATTTAAACTCTATTATTCCAAAGATATACATTAAGTTCTCTAGCAGGGCTATGAAATTGGATTTTAGATTCCATATTAAATTGTAACACCACAGTCTCAGTGAAGCATTTGAATCCAATATCATATGTCAGAGAGAATGTCAAGAAACCATAGAATGTACTTTCCTATTTTCTGCTGTTGCAATGACAATCTCTCTCACACTTTTGGTGAGTGTTTGTGTGGTGTGTCCTCTACGTGCAAGCTTTTGTTAACAGAGACACTGTTATTTAGTAAGATTTCAATCCAGAATTAGTTCCTCCTTGGCCAATCAAGCCAGAGCATTGCAGAGGATAAAATTCTCACTAAATGAATGTGGATTCAGATATCCCAGGATGATGAATTCTGGACTTGGCCTAATTCAGTAGTCTTTTCTTCAGTAAATAGTTATTCAAAAATAGCCTTTGCAATATATTTTGTGTCAAGTTGAAAAGTCGTTCCCCCATCAAATGGGAATGGCACTTTGTGTTTGCGCTCACAATCTTTCCATGAAACCAGCAAAAAGATTAGCCCATTTTGTCTGTTGCCTCTATTAATCAGTGCCATGCTGTTTGATGTTTAAAGAAGAATATGGTTATTTTTTTTTCTTTCCATGGAACCTTTAGTGATCCCGTGAGACTGAACCAACTTATTCTAGAAGACCATTTTTTAAAACATTTCCTTTAATATCAGAATGTTCCAAAATAAGGTTATTCCGTCATGTGATAATGAAGGTTTTTTTTTCTCCTTTTTGGGAATTTTATTTTCAGGTCTCCCTTTGGCCACATAGTCATGTTTTGATTTCAAGCAAGTAAACAAGTATTTTCCAATTATAAGATGCCTAATAAAGTTAAAAGGAAAAACCTTGAAGAGATTTTCACTGTCCTAGTTGACCTAAAACAAAAATGTAAATTAGTTTAAAATATAAATATAAAATAGAAATGACTTTAATAGTAAATGTTCAGAATCTACAGGTTAAAAAAATGGTAAAATCTTTAAAGATTATAAATGCATGAAATTCTCCAAAAGTGATTTATAATTTAATTCCACTCCTATCAAGCTTTCAATGTTTTTATTTTTTCCTTCTGAAGCAGGCACTTCTCAAAGTTATTATAAGTGCCTCTTGGGGAAAAAAAGCTCAAAGAAGATTTGAAACAAAAGATGAAGGAGAAGTCACGCCATGCCCGTAGCTCAGGGCATTATAAGCCACAATGGTCACAACAGTATTGTATGGGTCCAGGAATTAATACAGACGCCAAAAAAAGAAAAAAAAGAAAACAATGTAGTTCACAAACAGCATTGATTAGGTTGTCTCTCTTGGAGATGGATTATTTTTGTTCTATATGTGAAAAGTGAGCAAAAAGACACTGTGATAGGAAGGGTTATGCTCCCCAAATATCCGTATGCTCCTCTCCATTTCCCAGCCTCCTTTTCAGTTGGGTTGGGGTCATATAATTGGTCAAGGTCAATGAGGTGTATCCAGAAGTGATGTAAGCTGCTTCCATACCTTTTTCATACCTTGCTCTTTGAAACATCCTGCGCAAAGTAATAAATCTTTCTCCCTGTGTACCTTGATGATTGTGGAGGCCACATGTTTCAGAAGATGGCTGTGATTTGCAAACATCCTGGATCTGTGAGTCACCTCTTAGAAGACAGCACCTTCAGCAAGCTGCCTAACCAACATTAGCTTGTGACAAAAGCAAAAATAAATATCTGTTGCATTAAAAAAAATAAATTTAAAAGCCCGATGGGCAGCTAAAAATAATAGATCTATGTATTCCTGTCATAGACAACAAATTTCCATCTTATTTAACTCTTTAAATTAAACATCAGTTGACAATCTAATTTTAAAATGATCAATAAAAAGAAGCTGCAATATATTTTTTTAAAACGTAACATGATTAGTTATCAATCTCACATTTGGGGAAAATGCTCCCAACAAGAAAATAATGAAAATAATTCCCAAGACGAAGAAAGCTACATGATGTATATTCTTTGCTCTCCTTCACTAGGTTTTCCAGGGCAATTTTGACAATGATACCCACAGAAAAAACGTCATCGACCCTCCCATCTATGCACGGCACATAAGAATCCTTCCTTGGTCCTGGTACGGGAGAATCACGCTGCGGTCAGAGCTGCTGGGCTGCACAGAGGAGGAGTGAGGAGACCGCACACCCCACAACCCTCCTATTTCCCGTCTCTCTATCGCCATGGAATGAACTGTGCAAAATCGGGAGGAAACTGAATGGGGTTTTCCTGGAAAGTGCTCACCTTATGGTAGGCCACTAACTGTCATTCTGAGGAGGTCTAAGCCTGCCTTTTCAACGGTTTAATTTGATTTTTATCATTTAAATTTCTTAAGCAGCATCACATTAACTGTGAATTACTTTTCTCTTGGCTTTCTGAATTATTCACACTGGGTGAACTATGTTAGGGAACGAAAGTAGCACTCTTTTAATAGCAAGGATAAAAAAATCTCCTAGTTATCAAATAAAAGCAAGAGTTGTTGGAGCTTTTATAATCAATATGCAACTCATTCTTATAAAAGGAATACAGCAATGTTAGCAATAAGGTTTTTGTTTTTGTTTTTCCTGTAGTTACTCTACATTATCCTAATTGTCTTCTTGTGCCTACCACTGTTAGTGTTTATAACAGAATTTTGAAGAAGAATCTGTAACATGTAGTACTAACTGATATTATAATTCTCATTTTACTTTTATTATTTTTAATCAGAGATTATGTGATCTTCTTTTCTTTTTGTTCAATTTTATAGCCTTTATATTGTATATTGCCTGAATCTGTTTATATTTTCCAGTTGAGTTTTCTCCTATAATTTGCCTTAAGGTAGTTATCATGTTTGTTTATATATATGGAACATGATTGAAAATCAGTAAAATGATCATAATTAATATCAGTAGATTAAATCTGAAATTATATTTTTGAAGGAAGCTATAACTATGTAATTTCCAAATACTTCCTCTATAAAGAACCCAATACTACCATTTTGCTAAATAAACAACAATGAAATTGTATTATGCTTCTTTACACAGAAATTTCAATCTTCATTTTGATGGTATTTACATAGCCCTATATTTGCTTTAACATAGAATGATGAATTCTTTGTTTGTCTATTTTAAATTTTTTAACATACAAATATTAACATAGAGATGCATAGTTTGGCCATGCATACTCATAATTTCTTTGTTCATCTCTGCATTTCCCGTGAAACTAGAATTTTCTGAAGATTTGAAACTGGTAGTGGTTTCCCAGGAAAGCACCTTGTTCAGTTATTTGTAAGAAGAAAAGTATTTACTAATGACAAACTAGTAAACCATTTTCAAGATGAAAATTGATTTCTGTTTATTTTGCTTCAAAGGTCCTGCTAAAATAAGCAATCATCATAACAATTTGTCATTGATAATGGAGATCTCATTGACATGTTTCTCAAATCAAAGCTCACACTGCCTCCATAAAAGTCCTCAATGTCTAATTTGTAAGCATTACACTTATTTATTTTATAAGGCTTAGACACAGAATATTGGAGGTTTAAATTAAGGGCCCTGGAAAAGAAAGTACGGTATGTGTACGAAATGTTGAGGTCCTGTGCAACACTGCTAAGTTTTTTGTTTTTTTCCTTTTATTATTTGTGCTGCAAAACAAAAGCCACTAGACTGTTACTGTCTTGTCTGTCTATGTGTTATTAGCTTTTCTTAATGATGTATATATGGAGTGGTCTTCAATCATAGTAAAGAATTTAAAGAGAAAGTCAATCATAATGGTATTTTTAATAAGAGCAAAATTAGGACTGCCTGGACACATATTTGTCCTATGCCCATGTGCTTCCCACTTCAGGCCTTAATATGAAATTATTGATTTAAAGCATCTGAAATGGTGATCAGTTTCAGCATCTTTCAAAATAAAATTGCCATGTCCTCAGTATTATCCTTTTGAGATAACTTTAAAATTAGGATGCAAATATTTTTAATTTGCTAAATTTTAAAGTAATGTTACAAATAACTATGTAGGTCCAAGAATATAAACACACTTATTGTCTAGCCAGTAGCCCTTGCTTCTTTAAAGACTTACTGTCCCACCAAATTTCTAGTCATTTTCCTTTGTAGATTAATGCACAATTCTTCATTCTTAACAGAGTATGTTTTTAAAATTTTGAGTAATTATTTGTAAAGACTTAGTTTTTCAAAATTATTCATGGCTTCTTATGATGCTTTAAATTTTATTCTATTGATAGTTTTTTAAACAAATATTAAAAAAAGAGTTTGTTAAAATTATATTTGTCACTTTTAGAAATACATTGAAATGAATTTTTCTTGCATGTGAATTTTCTTTCTTCTCTAGATGCTCATCACCAACATGGCATGATGAATGGACTATCTATTTGTCCTATGGTGCCCAAAATTCATGACAATAAAGGGATTCCCACATGTGGAAATGTTAGTAATTATTGCAAAGTAGTATGTAGTTTTTGTGTCACTGGTAACAGTGACATCAAAGTGAAATAAATTTATTCTCTTTAAATTCACACTAAAACAAGTAAAACCTCATCAGCAGAATGCACAAAAGAATTACCTAGTCTTCACCATATTGTGTAACTAAGTACAAGATGCTAATTTTATAATCTATGAAATTAAAATTTTAAATATCTCCATTTTATCTATGTCTTGTAAAAAGCATTTGTCATAGTCATTAATTCTCATTTTAGGGTTGACTTTCTCTTTCTGAATGACTTCATAAGGATTGGTGTGAATTTTGAAGACTTAGGGTATTAATGATTGTATCTTTGCTAGTCAACAAATTATAAAATATAACACTGCTGGCGTCTGATGTGTCAGTAAGTACAGAAATAACTAAGACACAAATAACCTTTGCAAACTTTCAAGCTGTGTAATATTCCAATGTTGTTTTTTTTTCTTTGTATATATACTTAAATCATGTAGGATGTTGTAAAATCAGTATGACCTTGTCTAGTCTTAAAACTTAAAATAAAACTTTTGAAAATCTGGGATACCTTTGAAGCAGTTGTAATTAAACACATTTGTAAGAATACACAAATTGTCTGAATGTGAGTGCCCACTACTCTTTAACTAGTTGCTTGGTTTATGTGGTTTTTTTTGTTTGTTTATTGTTATTTTGTTGTTGTTTCTGTTTGTTTTTTTGGTATAGGATAGTTAAACAAATACAGAAAACGATAGAAATTACAACAGCCTCTCTCTATATATATATTGATATCAGCAAAATTGGCCCATCTAAAATCATTAAAATGTGTACATTTCTCCTGCTCCTTTAAGCTGTGGAAATTTTATTTGAATACTAATAATCCAAAGTCACTTCTTTCTACACATTTAAAGTCTTGTGTTCCAGGGTGGATCTGCTCATTGTTAATCAGATGCTATTACTCTTACATCTATTGTTTTTTAAGTACATGATCCTCAGTAGCATAATGATGAGATCCAGTCAGTAGTAAGCAGTAATACAATCTTTCTTATGTACTTACCCATGTAACTTCAGCTGTTGCTTAAAGAAAATCATAGTACATGGCTTCTCCATAAACCCTGTTTCTGCCTCTCTGGAAGTCGCTGGTAAAATATAGTCTGTTTACTTCCCGCTTTTTAGATATTTTCTTAGGATTGAAAAAAAAAAAACTGGAAAAAAACTTAAGATATTAAATGCGGACTGTGGTTGAGCTTCAGTGGATCTCTGACAGTTCTCAATCCTAACTTATTACATGTCTTCATATATCCGTGTGTGTTCCCATGTATCTGTATTTTAATGTGAATGGTTCAGTGAAGTTACATTGCTTACCTAGTTTTTGCACACACACAAACATACACAAATATGCTTTTACTAAATAAAAGCAATTATAGTATATATTTTCAGTAAGGCAAATAAACAATCATGACACTTGTATAAGTAGTAAAAATTTGTTGTGATAGCAGAATAATTATTCAACAGAAAATTTTCAACTATGAGGCTTTTCAAATTACTACTCAATATGTAAAAAATAAGAAAAAAAGAAACATTTGGAATTGCAAGGAGGGAAGTCTGACCATGTTGAAGAAATTTGTTTTTAAAAAAATCTGTTTAGATAACTTCATGAATGGAAAATATTCTCTACATGTAACCTAGAATTTTAATACACCTAGCACTTCAGCTTTGAATACATGATTTTAAGTAAAGATTTTGGTAATGAAACATTAATTTTTACTGTCAAAAATGCAATGCTTTCTATCTTTCTCTTCCCAAAGGCTAGTTTAAATAATATTACCAATCATGTTAGTGTGTTATTTATTTTTGAAAAATATTGCCTCTAGCTTTTGAGATGTGAAGAACCCTTTTACCTGAGCCAGTAAATGGAGGATTAAAGCACATTGCTAGTTGAGAAGTATCTAAACAAGCCTGGAACAAAATGCATTGTTACTTGTCTTTACGAAGAAAGAACACCTAGTGTAAGTAGCATGTTTTCTATTGATTTCAAATGGGGAAACAGGATTCTTTGATTCTGTTGCAGTAAGTGCCTATAATTCATACTGGATATTTCAACACTGCCGCCAAATGAAGTGTTTTCCACAGTAGGCAAGTGGCACTTGCTCCAAGAGTTATTTCTATTAGATGAATTTGGTAGCAGAAATAGGAAAACATTTTTTGGAAAAGGCTCCTCATTTAGTTGCTTTTGCATATCTTGGCAGGAGTTGATTGAATCATTTGAAAACAGTAATGTGGAAATATGGTATAGTGGCACCCGCAAATGGTCACCATATTACAGATTAAGCACTGCATATGGTGACTGCCTCTGATTTTATCTTATGTTAACATCCTCAAAGCCATGAACCACACTTTCATATTTATATAAAGTTCCCATAGTGCCATTCATATGCCCACACATAAATATGGGAATAGTGATGAACTGCGACGCAAGCTCAGCCTGCCTGCCACCTGGAAAGGAAGTGGTGGCAGTGAGACTGATGGTGCACTCCAACAATACGTCCCCCGTGGCCAGTATGAAAACAGCTTTGTGATGACATATAGGATAATCATCAGGCCAAAGGAGTAGCCTGCATGTATGTGACAAAGAAGGAATGTTTTCAGTGACAAATGGCTTAAATGACAAATTAGACATGGATCTACACATATTTTATTTTTGTTTCACTTCTTAGAATATAGCAGAAATTTAAAGAACAATGGTAGGCCTGTGACTCTGGCAGACATGGTCAGTACTGCTCTTCTCAAGGCCAGGGACATTTTCCACCTGAGCCCAGGAAAGAGGACTTGAACAAAGGTTAAAAATGGAATATCGTGAAGAAAGTGAGATGTGTGTGTGTGTGTGTGTGTGTGTGTGTGTATTTTAACAGAAGTATCCCACTATAGTCTGACTGTGCCACCCTGCCCCTAAATTCATGTGTTGAAATCTTGATCCCAAAGGTGCTGGTATAGCACTTGGGATCCTTGGGAGGTGCTTAGGTCAGAGGGTGGAACAAATGGGATTAGTGCTCTTATAAAAAAGACCCAGAGNGAGATCAGTTAGGACAATATGAAGCAGCCTGGATGTGGGCTGATGAGCTGAAGTAAAGCAATGACTGTAGAAACAGCAAAGAGAAAAAGCAATGCAACTGTACATTAGAAAGACTCGGCCCCTGGCATATCCAGTATTAAGGTAAGTGTCACCGAAAGCATGGCTTCTGCCTACTTGACTAAATCGCGCCACTGAGCAGCAGCCTGAGAACAGCCACTCCAGTCAATCCTCTGTCGCACTCTGATATTAACTTCTGCTCTCTTGTGGTCACTGTGAACCCAGTGGCTCAGTGACACAGTGCCCTCCTGAGCCCAGAGCAGCACATGGGGCTCAGGCGTGCAGGATGAGCCCATTGGGCAGAGATCATAATTAGAAACAGGATTTTTATGTGCTATTGCCTTTGGGGGCACTTCACTCTACAGAGTGATTCTAGCCCAACTGTTACCAACATTTTTAGTTTTGAGACTGGCTGATACAATACACTGTGAATTATGAACTCATAAAGCCGTTTGTTCATGTTCTTCAGTGTTCAGAGGGAAGTTCAGAACCTTCGTCCAGCTGCCTAATGATTCCCAGGATCTAAATTAAACACATGCGCTCATGTTTCACTGCTAATATTATGTGGCTACAAGTCAAAAGTTCTTTCCCCATCTCTGTGCGCATGAAAATAAGAATGTAGAACATAATTATATTAAAAGTGTTATAGACTTTTCCGTAACTTCTCAAACTCATATTGTATATTTGTAAGACATATGTGTTTACGTTCACAGTCAAGTGAACTGTTTGGTCATTGTAAGCAGAGACTGATCTCACTCAAGCATCTAATATTACTAAATATATAGAGAAGTTGCCACTCAGAAAAAGAGAAGTCTTCTACCTAGGATAGAGCTTAACCTCTCTTATCCCTTGTGCACATAGTTCCTGTTGCCACTATTTCTAAGGCCGCAGCTGGGCTAGTTTGGCTCAAACGGTTTCCATATTT